TAAGCTCAACTCTAAGTTATCGTATGTTCACGGGGTTATGACAGACTTTCTGTTAAAGGCGCTGTTTTTGTGAAAAATCAACTCATAATATTCTGAATCTTAAATTATCGTAGAATTGGGTTCTTTCTGACGAGATCTGTAGCAGTACTAAAATTGATATTTCAATTGATCCTAAATAGGATTAAATTCAAATAAAAGATATTACTTAGCATAAAAAAATTACATTCTAATTCACTTTCTATAATTTTGAGTAAAATATTCTTAAAGACTTTTTAGTGTTTTCCACCATTTGAAGTCAAAACTCTTAGCCGGTAACATTCTTTAAAGAATCCTGCTTTTTTTTTCTCTCCAGAGAAGCGAAACTGTTTTGTGAAAATTTGTTGAACAAGAAACTGTTGTTCAAAAAACACGAACGAAAGATGCCATTCAAAATGAAAAATAATGTAAAGAGCCTGTTTTTAAGATAAAATATTTTGTGAAGGGGATGTCTTTAGAACATAATATTCCATGAAGAGTTATCGATTTTAACGATAAAAATTTTGTGAAAGCTCCGTTGACGAATATAAACTTGCCCCCAAATCAACCCTGGATATTATGCATTAGTGAAGCAAAATAATAACAAAATGAATATATTAATAACAAAATGAATGATAGATTGCAGGGAATAATTTAGATAGGAATTTTCCAGAAAAGATTTTAAGATGTGCTCATTAACTTCATCTGAAAGTCAGAGGAACCTCATTGTTATGAATCGCCTATGTACGAAATAAATATATGTTTTGTTTATTAATTATCAGAATTGTCAAAATTCATGATTTTTTGTTTTAAAAAAATCCGAAAAAAATCGGATCATCTTCATTCCTCGAATTAAATATTTTTAAAAAAAATTTTTATAGGTTATAACTTTATTATATACCCATATAACTTATAACTTATATTATATACCCATTTAGTTTTATATTTATTTGAATACTTTAAGTGTTTTTAAAATATAATAAATACGTAGTTAGTGTTTAACAATATTGAAGAAAGACTTGTTCTGCTTAGAAAGCCTAGAGAAAGGCAGTGATTCCCAATTTTTTTCGGCAGCGGAACCCAAAATAATCAGATGTTTCGGCTTAACCCTTTATGTTTTAAAAGCACTTAAAGTATTCAAATAAATATAAAACTAAATGGGTATAACTAAAATCTGTTTATTACCAGCAAATGTTATAAACCGCTAATAGAAAATAATAATTTAACAGTTTAACATTACTTTTTTCCATTTTCAGTATAAATTAACTTATTTATAATTAAACTATTTTGAAATACAATAATTTACCCTTATATTATTTCATTGGATAAAATCTTCAATATCAAATAAATCAAGACTTCAACAAGAATCATCACACTTTAAAGAATACATTCATAAAAATATTTTCGACATTATAATTTACCTCTTAAAAAAAAATCAATTAGTTTAAATGAATGATTTTCTTTAAACAATTACAGTTGATTTAAATCAATGATGTTTAAAAAAAAAAATCAAGTAATTTATATGGCGAATTTAATCATAATTTAAATCAAGTGATTTAAATCAAGTCAACCCTAATCATTATAAGTGTCAACATCAAAACTATTCGTTACTTTCAAAATATACATTAGATGCTTGGCTTTGTTAGAAGCTTTTTTTTTTATCTTGTTACAAATTAACGAGCCTATAAAATTAACATTTATGCTAGGTGGTTTCTATTGTTCTGTTTTTTTTATTTTTACCAGTTATTTTATTAAATATATCGTGCTGTGTTATCCAAATTAGCTATATCACCCTTTAATTTTACTTTAGTAATTAAAACGGGGTAATCATAAATTAAAGTAATAGCATTGAAGAAATAATAAAGAAAAAGCATTAATGCAACTCGGAAGACAATATTTTAAGGATCATGAATAACTTTTGATGTGAAATTACCCACACTATTTCCGCTACATAAAAAAACGAGCTTCAAAAATGTTATGAATTCTTAACAGCTATCCGTGGTTTGCCAATTAAGTTTCATACATCTTTAGCCAGCTGATTATAAAAAGTCGTAAAATGTTAATTAAAAGAAATAAGTAAGTTTTTTGAAAATAAAAAGCGTTTTCGACTTTTAATATTTGAAAATATCACTAAATGTCTGGACTCATAAAAATATGTACCGGCGATTGTTTTTAAAAATTGTTTCATAGATTTTTAAATAATTAAAACATACGTCTTAAAAAAAAATAAAAAATAAAAAAAAACTTTTTTTTTTCCTCTTTAGAAAAAAAAAAAAAAAAACAAAACAAAAAAAAAAACACGCAAAATATATTATTTTGCAACAAACATGAACATCTGACTCGTTTTAGTCCATTTCTTTACCTACCAGTTAAACAATGTTTAAAAAAAAAAAAATTTTCTCGAAATCAATACTTTTTTTAAAAATAATTTTTTTTTCTAGCAAGATTATTTTCTTTTCCAAACAATATTAATTTCACCCATCAAGTCCCAGCTCAACTAATAATTATTTCAGATCTTCTCCAACTGAATATCCCCCCCCCCCTCTTTAGTTGTTGATTAAATTTTGAGACTAAAAAAAACTTAAAAATCAGTGTTTCAAGTGAAGAGATTGTTTGGCTAATGAGTATTAACATAAGAATTTCTTACTAGAAATCTTTAAATCTTGAAGTAACATATTTATTTTTAGATATTTTTTGTTTGTACTGTAAACTTCAATATCAGAAAAGACAAAAAAATTACCAAGCTGCAATTAAAAACAACAAATTCATAAATAAGTGAAAACGCTTTTCGACAGTTTAGCGAATGGGACAATTAATTTTTAAAATATTTGAGTTTATTTAAAAGAATAAAAATTAATTTATTAACGAAAGTGATAATTCAGGACATAAGTAACAAAAAAAAAATAAATAAATAAATAGTTTACTTTTTTATGTTCAAATTTCAATCAGTCTTAATCTGTCCAATCAGGGTTGGTAAAATAACCCCATGAAGAACAGTGTTAAATCAAATGATTTTTTTTCCTTTTTTTTTTGTTTAATAAGAAATTATCAAAAAATTTCAATAACGTACAAACTTACTTTGTAAAAAGGTTTCTAAAAACTTATAGTAACTATAGAAGGAAAAAACTTATAATTGTGGGGGAAATTTCAAATCAAAAGAGTTGCATCCTCGAAAAATATTAGGCTCTGAGAATTTTATGCTCCTCTGCATAACACAAGAGCTGAATGTAATTATAATAATGTGTAAAACCAAACTCTTAAGCGAAAGCCTCATTGAATAAAGTAACTAAATTACACAATGTCTAACACAAAAATTTAAAGGAGAGAAATAGAAACAAATAAAAAGGAAATAAAATCACTATTCACATTAAAAGTTAGAGAGAAAATGGAAATTCATTTTCCTGAAACTCCTAATTTTCACATTTTAACACATTACAGGACAAGAATACCATGAATGTTTTTCAAAAATATAAAGATTTAACACTCAATTATATCATTCTTGAAAATTATCGAATAGGAGCAAAAGAGTTGTGTTAAATGTAGCATATTAACAAAAATATTTTGATACAAATTTTATGCAACTGTAAAATTTTAAAACCAAAATGGTGTAAGTCATGTTAGAAAATATCAAATTACTCTAAGCATTAATGCCCTATCACTTTTTTCAAAACTTTTTATCATTAAAAAATGTGGTGATTTAGCAACATAAATCCAGAATGGATTGACAAGAAAGTCGTTCCCTTTTTCATATACACATTAACTATCTATACATAATAAATGTGTATGAATTTACAAAATGTCATGAATTTATACATGTTTAGTGTATTTATAATAGAGCATGGCTTGGCAAAAGAAAAAAAAGAGTATAGTGTCAACAAATTTAAGATAACTAATTGAATTTTTCAACTGTTAAATCTCCTGATACAGTCAAAAATTTTATTAAACTGTAATAATAAAATGCCGATAAAAAATTTGATCAAATAAAGTAATATTTAATAAAATAATATTAAATATAGTAGTAATTAAACAGCTTAGAATAACTTAAATGATTTATAAACCAGAGCAGAACTTAGGTTTTATGAAATCGAAGGCATGTTTAAAGTATTCGGTTCATTTTAAGTCCTATTTGAGTTTCAAAAAATATAAATTCCATAAAATAATCAATTATTTTCATAAAATAACTAGAAATGATAACTCAAATAAATTTATAAATATTTAAAAATAAATTACCAATATAGGTACTAAATAATTGGTTAAAAAAAACTGTCATTTAGTTCTGTTTTATACTTATAAGTGTTATTTGTTTTGAATAAAGATACAATAAGGAGAGAAGTCAAAATAAATTTTTTATTTAGTGGTATTTGTAATTATTAATTTTAGTTATAGGTCAAGTCAAAAATACAGCTAAACTTATAATTGCTAAACATGAAAATATTTCTACTCATTATGCAAAATAAGTTTCTTTCAAATAAAAAATGTTTAAATGTTAACAGATTCTTAGCGATTCTACTAAAAAAATGTAAAAATAATTTATTGAATACAAGATCAATTTAGGAATAAGTCTTTTAAATAACTTATTGTTTATATAAATAAACTAAAAGTTATTTACAAAAGTATTTAAAATAAACACAATATTATTATGTATTGGATTTCAAAGTCAGTAACATATAGATACAACTCATTTAAAATTAAAAGAAACAAAAGAAATTATTTGATCGCTATTAAATAGACTGGAATAGTTTATGAGGATATTTACAATCTATTTCTGTTATATGACACCATGCTTAAGATAATTTAAATTCGCATAAATTTTTTTTTAAAAATGCAATGTTTAAAAGGTACGTTGTTTACGTTAATGAAAAACCGGCAATAAAACATGCTTTCTAAAGATCATAAGGGAGGGGCAAATAGACAATCGAACTGGTTTTTTAAAACAGAAAAACCATCAAAATATCGATCAATAACAAAAGATGATCAGAACATACCGTAATTTTAAGTTTTTCATAAATTCTTCCATACAAATATCCTCCAAAAGCACAAAATCGCCGATTCCAGCTTCCCCGAAATCCGCCATTGTTATTTTGAAAATGACAGGTCCGCCAACCGCTCCACTATGTTGTCGTCTGGTTAGTTTTCTCAGTTGTTTAGTCAACACGAGAGGAAAAGGTTTACTGCAAAAGAAAAGAAAATCGCCAACTAACGTTTCAACGCCAATGACGATTTTTAAGTAAAAAAAAAATTAATTGTAACCAAATTTTGATTTTTTTTTTTTTAAACTTACATATTTATAGATATTGAAAATAACCGTAATAAAAGTGTCAAATAATTTTTGTTTTCAGACTGTGTGATTTTATATTGCAATAGAGCCAAAATTTAAAATTGGGCGATTCAGGGAGACTAGTTTTTGAAAGGCACGAAATAAAAATGCACAGTAGTTCGCAAAATCTCACAATAAAAAAAGGACGTAGCTCTTTTTCTTCCATTTGCTAAATGTCCGTCAAATAATTAATTATTTTTTCAATGTCTTGAAATGTTTTAAACATTTAATAATATATAAATTGATAGTGATTCATGATCTTTTTATTATTATTAGTCTGAAATATTGGGGGGAAATCTTTTTGAGGCTTATATTTATTCAGGGAAACATAAGTTTATCCCCCCCCCCAATGAATCACTGGTTGAAGGATATCCAAAAAATAACAATTTAGGACATTGGACGTTTTACAAGAACTGGGAGGTCACTCACCAACCCCCGGTGTTATTTAGCCCCGCAAAAATCGGTATTTTTTCAACAATAAAGATCATTTTGTCTATAAAATGTATAATTATTATAATTTAGGGAAACGACATTTTGTTAATATGTTAATCATAGCAAGATGAACGTTAACTTGATTATTTGGATTTGCAAAACAATCAACAGAATATGAACAAATTGGCGTTTTTTTTTTCTTCTTTTATTGCAAAAAAAACCTAATTAAAACATTATTTGAAGTATTTAATCATTTTAGCTATGTTGTCAACTATAGTATTTTATATTATTATAGTTAGATTTTCAAAACATTATATCAAATAAGGTATCTAATTATAACAATATTGCATTTATGCGTATTCAAAATCACGGTCTTTTTGCAATAAATTCTTGCATCAGATAATATTACATTTATTTCAGATAAAACAAAAGTAACGACAACTGATTAAGCACAATTAAATTTCAAAATTTTAGGAACATGTTATAGTCAGAGAAATGTTGCTTTGAGTTGAGCACAATTTAGAAATAAATATTTCTGGTTAAAAAATTAAACTAAAGCAGGTTTGAAAAAAAATCATTTTTCACTTACAGCAAAATAGTAAAATTTTTGTAAGCTTCTGATTATACGTATTCTGTACTAATCAATAAAATAAAAATTAATGAATTTACTATTAAAGAAATAATACAAATAATTAAAATCAATTATGACAATTTCTAATAAAATTATAACAATTAAGTAGCATATTTTGTTTTAATTCGTTATTCATTTTTTTAAAAAAATAATTTTTAAAAAATCTTTAATGATTGAAAAAGAATTATTGATGGAGATACACAGAAAAATAATAAAAATAATGTATTCAACAGAAAAATAATAAAGGATAACAAGACTTTAGCTGTAAAATAATTTTAAAAAAAAAATCATAACTGAAGCTTTCTTAAAATATTAAAACGCTTAACGCTACTTTTTTAATATTTTTTCTTCATTTTATACATATATATTTGACTTCCACCGGTGAATGTTGACAATCACATAGTCGCTCTGATAAATGTCCCAAATATATACTAGTTCTAGTTATAAGTACCACTGCTCGATATACATTTGCCCGGTACTCAACACTGATGTTTCTCCTACTCTATATCCTCAGCAGATATTAAAATATCGAATAAATATAATAATATCAAGGAATAAATTAATATAAAACTAAGAGGCTCCGCCCCCTGCTCGCTGACGCTCGCCAACCCCCGAGGATTGCTACGCAGTCCTATGTGGTTCACGCCGTGAACCATGGCTAACTGCGCTCGCTCGCCAATGAACACAATGTTCTAGCACAAAGACATAATATATTATCATCAAAGACATAGTATTTTATCATCAAAGACGTAGTATTTTATCATCAAAGACATAGTATTGTACTTATGTAGAATAATTCTACCAATGTTCTTATTGGCTTTTAAAAAAGTATATTAGCTATTTAGATTGTACATGGTGAAAAAATCAAAACATTAGCTAAATAAGAAACATATTAGCAAAATAAATTATCAAATATTGCTTCACTAATATTCTGCATTTTAAAGCGTGAAAATTCAATGCATAAATAAACGCGAAATATAAAAAAATTCAATGCATTCAATACAAACACTTAAACGTTTTTTAGACGTTTAGGTAGCTCC